TTTTTTTTTTTTTTTTTTTTTTTTTTTTTTTTTTTTTTTTTTTTTTTTTGTTCGTAACAAGTGAGGGGAGAAATTTTTCTCTCTCCTCGTGCGCGACGTGTTTTTAGTATTTTCCCCATTTTTAGTTTCAAACGTGAGTACGCGCGATAAAAAAGAAAAACAAGAAAAAAGGTTTTACCGTCGAGAAGACGAACCGTTGCAAAATTCAGTTTAGCTTGAATTTGTTTTTAGAGAGGTTAGACTTATTGTCTGGGTTAAGGATGTTGAAGGTGTTGTGTATATTTAGAAATATGTTTAGCAAATTCTGTTAATAATTAATTATCGCAGGACACGTGCGTTTGTTATAATTTATTACAAATTTATTCTTTAGTGGTCATTAATCGTTGAAAATCACAGTAACGTCATTAGTTACCGGCATTGACGTGACATTATTGTAGCGTTGCCGGTCGTTATGGTTTTTAAACATGTGAAAAAAAATAATGATACATTATCGTGCCAAGTGTCAAGGATATTTTAATGCTTTATAATTTGACAAACGTTGTATTCAAAAATAAACAAAGATATTAATGAAATTATAACACTCGGTTGGAATAATTCACATTAGCTAGACACATCTCATTCGCTTCTTACAAAAGTTGAAAAATAATGGCGGCGGATATTATTTTTCCAGGGATTGAAACTATGTATCATTAACTCTCATATATTATATTATATATCTTATTATTTTATTATATCTTATTATTATATATTATATTGTATTATATTATATTATATTATACTATCTCATACATAATATATCTTATTATATTATATACATTCTAGCAAAGTCGCGATGCATGTTGATGATCGTTTCAAATTTAAACATCGTCAGAAAGATATAATCAACCATGTATAAAACCATGTATCATTAACTCTCATATATTATATTATATATCTTATTATTATATTATGTTATATTATATTATATTATATTATATTATATTATATTATATTATATATTATATTATATTATATCATACATAATATATCTTATTATATTATATTCATTCTAGCAAAGAATGAATGATCGTTTCAAATATAAAGATCGTCAGAAAGATATAATCAACAAAGTTTCGTGTTAAACGCCATTTGAACGATTACTTTCAACGCCACGTCATTTTATTCGAAGTGAAATAAATTGCTGGTGGATGATACGCAAAAAAGTTTTCGAGGGCAAAGTGTTAATTATCAGAACGATGATTCGCGAGTCGGGAAGAATCGTCTGCCATTAAACTTTCAATCAAGATCCGTCGAGATCGAAATCTAATCGAAGAAAGTCAGAGCGAAATCCTAACGAAATCAACTTTCAGGAACTCAGTACTAAAGATCCGTAGCACAGACAGACCGTTCCCCTGGAACTGTGTAGTATCGTTTCGTGTTATCAAAATGGAATCTGTCTTCAGCGGCGCATAAATTGCGCGATAAGGGTAAAGCCACGTTCGTTTCGCGATGCCTCTGTTATTTTTACAGAGGAAATAAGGAGCGATATCGCGAGTTGCCGAACGATTGAATGAAATTTCGTGCACGTAGCACAGCAGACTCGTCCTAATTTCGTATATACTGGGTTTTTACGAATTTAATTTACGCAAGCTGTCCGAGGTTATCTGCGAGATTAGTTGGCTTACGAGCCTAGCGAAGCATGTTTTATTTCTTGATCGTTCCACCGCAGGAGAAAACCTCGAAATGTAGAAATTTGAACGATTCGAATCTCGACGTTCGTGACATTTTCTCTCGGCCTTTATATTTATTATATTTATTATATTTTTTCAAACCCTCCGATTTTATTTCACGATTGAATTTCCTTGGTTTTTTGAACGTCCATTTCACAGAAATGTTGTAATCGTTCCTTAATTTTTGCCATTGAAGCGCGAAAATAAAATTCAAACTACTCGCTCAAACTTCCATTTTCAAGTTCCTCTTCGCTCAAGTTTCGTGTTTCTTTTGATTTCCCTTCCACTGATTGAGCTTTAGAATACACTCATTGTTCAAACTCTTTTGCTTTTAGTAACCCTTTCAACGTAGCGGCGATTCTTGGTCGTTCAGATTTGAGATTTTAATAATTGCCAATCATTCGAGCATCGATCTTTTTATCGACCACGAATTTGTACATCCCGATGAATGTACGTTTCATCTCTGCGAACTCGCATCTAGTAGCACAACGTTTCGTATTTTATCATGTAAACTGTGAGTCTGAAAGTGTTCGTAAAACGTTTTGTTGTAGATACGATCGAACCCTCGTGGCGATACGCAGGATAATATGAGAGCGGTAAGACAACCATTAAATATCAATCTAGCAATTATAGATTCACTAGTCGATTGTTAGATACGATTTGTCGAGCAGTTGCTTCTCTTTTTTAAAAGCTTCACATCACGGTGCAACGAGAATGAACTTCACGCGAGAAACGCGATCACGAATGCTTCTCGCACAATCTTTCAGAAAATGTTCTAAATCTTTTATCGGAATTAAACTTTTAATATTAAAATTAAAATTAAAATTGGAATTTCCACATTAATGTATAACATTACACGCATTGAAATTTCAACGTTACCAAACTGCGGATTTCTATCCGAATTCGTACATTTTCAGAATACGATTAAAAAGATAGAACCTTGGTAGAAAATTGTTTCACGTATCAAATATCATTGAAAGCACTACACTTTGGATATTTAATGTAATTTCTCATATTTTGCGCATTCCGTGGAAATTTTTATTTTAAAGTGCAGGCATATAAGTATATAAAAATCCGCTGTTTATTAACAAATATTATTGCTACTTGTTCTTTAAAATTATTCTCGAAACTTAATTAATCCGAACAATGTACAATAATTCATATTGTTCTTCTTCCAATCAGAAAAGTGATTGAAAGATCATGACAAAGATTTTGTCAATTAATATCTATTTGACAGATCGTTTTATTTCACTATTACTCAAAAAGTTAGGAAATCTTTGCCGTGAACCCTTCGATTTTTGTATTTATTACTTTTCCATTTGAATACTTCTAATAATAAGTGGACAATAAATCAAAGACAAAGACTTTACCAATATATATTATAACTTTTGGTAGATGAAAAAAATTTAGTCACGTTCACCAAAATTTTCACAAACGTCCGTGAAAAATAAAGAACTACGAATAACAATAAATACACTTTGAATCACTTTGTCGATATATTCTCTCACGAATTATTTCGATGATAACTATCGAAATCAGTCGAAGTCAAACAGCAAGTAGAAAAAAACAAAGGAACCCTTTTAACGATCTAAAATTCTACAATTGCAATTTCCGTGTAATGGGTTTTCAAAGTGAACGTATTATGTATTGAACCCCACGCAACGCAAACGAAGTTGAATTTATTCCAAGTGTGTGCGTACGCTACACACACACACACACACACACACACGATGTGTGTATACACCGCGAGTAGTATAACGGCGAGCGTCGATCGTTTGCAGAAACTTCTGCCTTTGTTAAATATTCATCTAACAACGCACGATCCCTTTGCGCCCTGCCTCTCCCACTTCTAAACAAGATTGCAGCCAGTTTCATAATTACAACCCTTTTATCCGGGAACGACTTCGACTTCACCGTTGAAGTTCCATTTAAAATTTCTCAAGTGAGTTTAAGGCGATTATGAAACTGCCGGTAAACATGAATTTCGCGAGATAACGCGATAAAACAGTCGTTGCGTTTCATCGCTAGTATTGTCGGAACGCGTTTCCTTTCTTTCAGTCATCTGTTACGAATCGGTCGATTATTTCAAAAAGACATCTCTTTGGCGCGTAATTTCTTAAAAAAAAAAAAAAAATAGCTTTGCGAAGGTAACATTTTGATTTAATCATTTAAATGAAAAGAAATTTGGATATTTTAAATACACTCAGTGAGAGTTAATCGTAACGTTCGTTTGCGCGGTGCTTTTTAATGAATGATCGTTGTACAATTTTTTGGAATTGGTCCAAAATGAATGATTTGCTCGCCTTAACAATTATTTCTAATAATGATGGGAACTATGGAGGAATGAAAACTCAATTTATAGGATAATCGCAGTTATTTGAACGGAACAGATGGAACATTGAAACAAACTTCGCGGCAATTAATCACCAACCACGTTCGTAAACTCGACATGAGTTGTGTAATTTTTTCTTTCTTTTTTTTTTTTGCAAATTATTCGAACGTGGCTAATTACGAAATTCATCTATCAAGAATACAAAGTATCCTGGCTACGTTGCGAGGCTTTCACGTTTGTCGTTTCATTAATTCATAAGTTCGTTCTCCGTATCAAAGTTCGGAGATTTTAATTAATCTTCAGATCAATCTAGTTGACTAACAGATTTTTACTTACATACAAAGTAACTGAAAACCAAAGTGTAATTTACACTTTAATCTAAGAGTGTTCTTAGAAAGAAAGTTTAGAAGTTAGGTTTGGGTTGGATTTAAAAAAAAAAAAGCTGAAATATTCTGTATATTTTTGCATATTATGCAAAATTCGCCGCTGATGCATAATCACACGCAATCTAGCCATCTCATTAAAACAGCATCTTTCCAGAGAATCGGGGGAAAAAAGAGAGAAGAAGAAAATCATAACTAGATCGTATTTATGCATTTGTGAGAAATATGAAGCTGCAAAATTCCATAGAACGCACGTATATTTAATGAGTAATTACATTATAATGTATAATATATAACAATATAACGTAATACATTATACGTTATTATACATATGTACCTTGTTTAAAATTATATAAAAATTCAAACAATATAATAATGCATTTGCATATATGTGTAGTAAGTAAAATAATTTAATAAGTAAATCTTGTTGTATTTAAAATATTTAAATTAGTAATTAAAAATATAAATTATGAATAAAATAATATTACTTACAATAATCACTAATAATAATAATAAAGTAATAAAATAATATTACTTACAATAAATAATATTACTTATTATAAATAATAATTATAATATAACTTATTACAAATAATACTTATAATATAACTCATTACAAATAATAATTATAATACAACTTATAAATAAATAATATTACAATAATTACTAACAGTAATAATAAAATAATGGAATAATATTACTTATAGTAATTATTTATAAAATTATAAATTTTACATTATAAACATCCAAACAGCAATAAATAGAAATAAATTTCTAGTGTATTTAAAATTCAATCTCTTAACATTTAACCTGCATTCAAATTAATATCTAATTATTATTTGAAATTGTAAACAATTTTGTGCAATAACTACAAAATACCCACTATTTAGTTTACTTGTAACATCATAGTAAGTATAGTAATAATCTACCAACGTTCCTTCCTTCTCTTCAACTCCATTTTATAGAAATGGAACGAATTTGCACAAATATCCGTAATCCAATCACAAGTTATAGTACGTTCCTCTGTTATTCTGTTCTCGTCGCGTCAGTCGTTGGAATTTCAACACTCGCGGGATTATGATCTGTCGTAAAATCGGGGCGTAAGAAGGAAAAGGGTGGTGCAAGGCGATAAAAATAATCGGACGAACAGGGAAGGTAATTCTCTTGGTGGCGGAGCTAACCTACTGGATTTCTCTTCCGCGCCACTGATTCCGGCTTCAGCTCAAACCACCCGCGGCCTCTCCCTCTCTCAATTATCCAGAATGTCATCTGCATTCGTGACGACGCGGGTTACGTTCATCCGCGTTTCCGTTCGTCTGTGTTTCCGCCGACCGGTTTTCTCAAACGGTTCGTTTCCACTGCTCGAATCCACCCGTCATCAACGGTGTTTATGACCCAACTGCGAGAAACCGCACTGGTGAAATTATCTCGCGAAGAAGAGAAGAAAGCTCCGTGCGACGCTTGAGAGAATCAATTTCATCGTGTGTTTTGTCACGGTCGTTCGATTAACACCCTCTTCCCACCCACTGGGTGGTCGTTGAATTTTAGAGAACCGTGTCAAAGAGAAACGTCTCTCTTTATCTGATTGTTTCATGTTGTATATAGATTAGTTTGTTACATTGCATTTGTTTTATATTGCATAATGCAATAAACATGCGTAACATTCAAGAGATGAACTCAATTAGGAGAGCCTAATTAGGAAAACTGAAGGAAATTAAGAGAGGTTCTTTGATTCTTTTAATTTTTGACATTTCTGTTTGAATTAATCACTTTTATACAGTGATATTATTATATATGTAGGAGAAGACATTATTATTATAATACATGATATTATTATAATACATTATATATGTAGGAGAAGACATTATTATTATACATTTACATGATATATTTATTGTCAACACATACTTGAATTACTCAAATTTTTCATTTAATTTCATTCAATGTGGCAATTTTCAATGTGACATTTATATTTCTTCTCTTGTGTCTGTATTATCTTTATCTGTTTTGTAAATAAATTGATATAGCTGCTGAACGATCCTGTTGGATTGGCGCGACATCTATAAGAATAGAAAACAAGATGTAAATTTCATAATAAATTCAGATAATTTCACTGTATCAATTTTTCCACCCATTATTCTTAAGAAAGTGTCGCAATAATCGGAACTATTCTTCTTCTTCGGCTTGGTTGTAACTATCGTCTTAATGTTACATCGCGTTCGATTTGCATCGACATAATTCCGCTGGTAAAAGTTATTATCGGGAGCCGTGTTCGTATATGTAAAACCCAGCTTATTCTGATAATCTCATTAATATTCAATGGTCATTCCGACCGTACGTTATTGTCGTAAATCCCGCAGAGTTCCTCCATGATAATCTATGATAATACGGTTTTTTCTTCGCACGAACTATTTGGAATAAGTACGTAATCTAAATGCGTCCTGATTTATTTGGCAAAGTCGATTTGATAATACGCTTTACGTCGTAAACAGTTTTTCCTTCCGTTAACAACGGAAGATATTTCCATTGAAAGGAGCAAAGATGTGTGTCTTTTTGAATTCACTGCGAAACTAAAATGTGCAGGTGAATATCAGAACAATCAGAAATATATTATTTTTAAAAATTCACTTGTAAAATTTGGTCGATGCGCGCACGCGACGGAGCTCTTGTTTCCGCATCAGTCGAGATTAATTTGAATCTTTGGTCGTTAACAGTGCGAAACGACTAATTAAAATTTCGTAGAAATGTATCAGTGACTCGATTGCTACGAATGATCAATTAAAAATTTTAAATAGTATTTAGAAATGTTGTAGAAAAGAATTTATTGTTAAATTGTTACTATATTACAAAGTAATAAATAAAGGAATTTAATTACGGATTC